GTTCGAACCAATTCAAGCATAGTTTTTTACACCGACTTGTGAACAAGCATGGTGCCGATGCCGCAACCATATTAACAATAACAATAATAGGAGATAAGTGGATTGGGGTACAGAGCAAAGTGGGAAGAGAGTGGAACAGTTAAATGCGGAAAAATGTAAGTTAACTGGGATAACGAAATTGTTTTGTGTTTCACCGTACACTGGTTGATATTCTGGGCCATATCTCTCAGCGTCTCTAACCAACGACAATCCTCATCTCTTGGGCCTCAATCTGGAAAGCGGGCTGCATCAATTGAAGTCAAGTTTAAAGCCAGCTTCTTCATACCTCTACGCCATGTCATGGTCTGACCGCCGCGGCGCTTCTTCCGGCCTTGCTCGGCATGTGCGAAGACAGCACGGAAAGTTAATCGATGGGCAGGCATACGCAATACGTGACCAAGCCATCGGAGGCAGTATAGAGCGATTATTTTTGTTAGAGAACGACTATCCGCACCCAGCAAGGGTACATTATTTCTAAATAGAATTCTTCGGAAATATCTGCTGATTTTGTTCATGTTCCATGTGGATTTGTCCAATAACAAGTCGATGTTTAATCAAACGTAACCGGACCTAAACTAGTCATGTTTTTCATACCCGGATTTTATTACGCTTGGGTGTGTTGTGCAACACACACACTACTTATAAAGTATTCTGCATTTTTTTACTGCTGGACCCTCATTTTTTTTCTCTCCAAAAATTAGGTCGCGAAAATCGTGGAAGTCGGATTCCTAATCGCCCAACTTCAGTAAGACTCGTTTTTTTTATAAATTACTGTGGCTCACCAGTTATATGGTGTGTTCTACGCCTCTCTTCCGCGATTCAAATGTGATACTTGTTCACTGTTGTGTGATCATTGACAGTTACGAACTTTTACAATCGGATAAGTTTTCGTGTCACTGATAAATTTAAAAACATCCTAAATAATTTAGCAACGAAAGTCTGGATGAGTATTCTGATAACAGTATAGAATATGGTCCGGCAGTTTTAGACTGTGTACTCTCTCTATGTATCATGGGGGGGGGGGCGGGGGNCCCCCGTCTCACTCCTTATCCATCTTACGCATTTGTACTTAGTTTGTTTAGATTCTGAGTTTGGCAACGATCAGTGAAGTTCGTATCACTGTGTTCCACTGTGCCAGGATGATACTGACACTGTTCTCCCCTCCCCCATCCTTTGCACCTTTGAATATGTTGAGAATAAAATGACAACTTGGTCAGGACTATTTTGAAACCATCCACTTAAATCATCACCAAATTGGTTCACGTTATTTCAATGCAGAATAATGCGCAAACTAAAGGTCGTTGGCTCTCCCTCTCTCTCTCTCTCTACTGATCCGAAATAGGTTACTGTTAAGACACAGTCCATGTTGTTTGACACTCGAAAGAAGTGCAACGCACAACACGTTATGTATTCACTTTTGATGAACTTTGAGCAATTGCTCCGTTCTATATGTTAGAAAAGACCTTTCTGCGAATCTCTATTTTCGATCACCGTACGCACAGGGTACGCTTAACAAACAATTGTACGTCAGTTATGTGTGTGTGGGTGCCATTTCGCATCAGAGCATACCTCGAAGGAATTTTTCGCTCGGTCAGGTGTATATAGTTGCAATGGATTATATGCTTACCTTCCGTTTGCTTCAAGTTGCGCTTATACTCTGAACCCCAGTTGTCACGTGTATTCGGCTGTCTTGCTGTCCAACGCAACGCCATGGCTGTAGTGATGGCCCCGTTAGCGCTGGTGGTTTAACTCTCCCAGTCTCTGCTCCAAGCCTCGCTACTATACCCGCGCCGTTGATGTCGGTCAGCTCTATACCGTGCCTACCACATGCCATTTTAGTGATGTATTTTCTCCCTACTTCCAGTCATGGGGTTTTGTGAATTCTCTGGTGCGTTTGAGTCCGATCTGTACAGCTGATTTTTCAGTGTTTATTGGTTAGTACCCTATCAACGGGGAAGAACTAACTAGCTTTAATCCAATCCCCCGGGCTTTGTTCCAGAATTCTGTACACCTGTCTATGATTTTATCACTGCAGCAGTGTGATCTGAAAAACTGTTCAGACAATACTGCACCACAATCAGCAGGGTATGAGATCTGTCAATCGGAGCAGACTCATCAATAGAGCGTGGTTTCGGTTTCCGGTTTTACAACCATTAACCATGCATTTTCATGCACCGACCTTGGTTGCTGTCTCATGAGCGGAATGAAGATTGGAATGTTAAGAGCAGGGCCAAAGAGGAGATAGAGAATTCGCATGGACTAATGTTGCAAGGATATTCACTAGATACATGAGCGTCCATGTTTGCGACACTCAACCGGATCACTCAGTATCTCGAACCACCGGTCACAGTGATCTCGGGGTCCCTATCCAGGGTTCATAGAGCATGGTAGCCAAATATGGTATCGTTCAACAATGCCGGAGATTGGTAGTGATCACCGATCAGTTCACTTCTTACAACCGCTAACCGTGCACTTTCGCGCGCCGGTTTCGGTTGCTGATTTGGCTGAAAGAGCAGGATGAAGATTAGAAATCCTGAGAGCAAATTCAAGCGGAAGATAGCGAGTTTTTATAGACTGATGTTACAAGAATAATGAGTAGATGCATGAACGCCACCGATTGCGATATCCAGCCATATCGCTCAGTGGTCACTGATACAGGATTCCAAAATGAAAATGCATAAGGAGACTGATATCAGGATTAACTAGGCACACACACGATGAGAAAATGCATAAAGAAGGTCTTGTCCTTAGGATTAAAGAAAAGTTGATCCTTTTATTGATTGTTATGTTGTTCTTCGTTACAATAAAGAAATATGTTTATAACGAACGATAAATATGTTGAAATGTCATGGGAAAGCGGAAGAACGTCAGAATAGGCACACTGTACCACCCACACAGCGCCGTCTCTTCTTCTTGGTTGGTTTATATTATTATCGATCCTGTTTGCTCACGTGATCTGAAAGTGTTTTCACGCTGAGCCCCTACTTCAACCCACCGATATTTAGCGCGCATGCATGTATCTCCTTCAATAGAAGAGGTGCTCGCCACTCGTGTGTTGATCAACGCGTAATCTCATTGACGATTGACGGAAAAATTGAGTTTATGTTTATACCCTTTTTCACAACCTGTTTACCAAATCGGTACAATAAACAATTCCTCAAGAAAAGAAGTGATCCACATCAGTTTTATGTGCACTTTCAAGCAGCTTGGTTTTCAAATGGGATAGGAACGAAATTACGGTTGCCAATGCTAGTCTGATCCCCCATTTAATATTCCTCCAGATCCAATCCATTATTGTCACCTTCTTTGATTTTTTTGAATTTCGGAGCGATTTCTCACAAAATAATCCGTTGCACAAGTGGTCATCAAGTACTAGTGTGTGTGTGTGTGTGTGGCGGTTGGAGGGCATCTGCGTTTTACCTGTTCTTCACAGACTGATGATTGCTTTTCCCTTTCACTGTACAATCACGAAGTTGATATCGCACCGGATGTCCGGTGTGACATATGAACGTATATATTCAAATCAGATATCCGAACCGTTTCTTTGATGTTTGGTCCGTACGTTCTTTTTTTTCACCCCACGCACACACCTTAGACTAGTGGTTTGACTTAGTTGTGATTAAGCAGTAAACAATTACTG